TAACTACAGTTTGCATGAAATAAAAATGCTTGACCTTTGATCATCCCATGTTCCACCGCTGGTTCAGGCAGGACTTTGAAAACATACTTCAGAGGATCACTTTTTAGGATAGAAGATTATTTGTTATTCTCCTACAGTTATTTTTTTCTTAATAGTCTTAACTAGAATGCTTTTTTTTTATTAAATTATTTATTTATTCATGAGAGACAGAGGCAGAGACACAGGCAGAGGGAGAAGCAGGCTCCATGCAGGGAGCCCAACATGGGACTCGATCCCAGGACTCCAGAATCACGCCCTGGGCTGAAGGCAGGCACTAAACCGCTGAGCCACCCAGGGATCGCCTAGAATGCTTGTTTAAAGTAAACATCATTGCTGGGTTTTTTTGTTTTTTGTTTGTTTTTAGTTGTGTTGGCTGTAACATCTGGATTTCATGAAAATCTAGGCCTAAAAGTTTTCTTTCAAATCTGATTTGGAGTAATATTTTGCTGTATTGAGGTGGCCGTACCCTTGATTTCTGTGTAGTACCGTACTGTATTGGGTGGGGGGCAGTTGTGTACCTACCCTTGTTTTCTGTGTGGGCAGCTAGTACCTTCGGGTTGGGTGAGGGGACAGGGCAGGCACAACTGCAAAGTGTCTGGTGGTTGTTTAACAACAGATCTGCAGGAAGATAATTGGTAGCCTTTACTAATATAGCAGTCTCTTCTGAGTAGCTCATTACACGTTGGGACACAATAGCACTTTTGAAATAAAAGAAACTAGCATCCCAAACTGAAAGACTCCACCAGCAGTGTCAACACACAGCCGTTGTTAGAAGAAGCTAACCCAGCACACTGAGGGTGATTTCCATGCCTGGAAATAATTTGCGTCTTGGGTCTTGACCCTTCCCAAATGCCTTATTTATATGTGCTTTTAAAATAACAGCTACTCATGTGGCTGTGGGCTTGTACTGACAGAGGTAAACACAGGCTAAATCTTAAGTAGACTGCCCAGGTTCTGTGATGAAAGGAACCTTAGAGAATACCTAAATAAATATCAAAACTTAAAAAAAAACACCAGGAATAAAAGCCATTAAAGGTGAGGGGGGCCTTTTGTTTTTTATTTATTTTTTAATTCTATTTTATTTTATTCATGAGAGACCCAGAGAGAGAGAGGCAGAGACATAGAAGGAGGAGCCGGCTTCTTGCAGGGAGCCTGATCCATGGACCGAGATCATGCCCTGAGCCGAAGGCAGATGCTCTACCGCTCAGCCACCCAGGCGCCCCACGTAGGGGCCTTCTGAACAAAGGGCATAATCCCAAATACATACACACACAAAAATTGAAAGAAGTACCCTTAATTTATTTGTGGAATTAAACTTCATTTGAATTCTAGGGCCCCAAACAACATTGCAACCATACCAATATGGTAGGGCTTGAGAAGCTGGTAAGAGTCCAGATTTTTCCCAGAGAAGGCTTTCATGGGGACAGATGTACCCCGAGACACTGCTCTCAGGTCCCAGCTGTAGCCCATAAGCACCTTAGCCTGTCCTGGGAAACCCCAGGAGCAGCAGGCATTGATTTCCTGGCTTGAGAGCAAATGCCCTGTGTCCCTGTAGGAGGCATCACTCACCCATGAGTGCTGCGTGATGAAGTTATTTCTGAAAGGACTGAGGGGACTTGTTTAAGAGGATGGCATTCAATATAGTAACTCCACTAGTCCTGGCTATCCTCTGTTGCGGAAGCCTTGCTTTTGTGTGGGTAGTTGTGTTAGTGGAGGCTGTAGAGGATCTCCCACTCTGATTTAGGAAGACAGAAGGCACCTGGGGTAAGAACCACCAATCCAGCGCTGTCGTGAGATTCCTGGAGGCCAGGAGAAGTAACAGAGCCCACACGTGAGGACCCAGGCAACTGGGGTTCTAGTCTTGTTCTCCCACTGATGGCTGTACGGCCTGAGCATAGTCAGCCCTCTATCAAAAATCCCCTATCAAAATCCTCTATCAAAAATTATTTTGAACAGAGAGCTCAGAGAGTAGTTCCCAAAAGATTTGCCAGCTGCTGTGGATGGTGGGGCAGGGAAGGTGCGGGAATGGAACAGGTTGCTTATATTGCAGATGCCTGCCCTCCCCTCTGACCTCCTGAATCAGAATCTCTGGGGATGGGGCCTGAAAGTTTGCATTGTTAACGCGCACCTCCTAGTGGATTCTGGTACTCAGCCAGTTGTGGGAACTGCTGATTGATGCCTAGGGACCTTTAAAGCAATTGAGACCCCATTTTGTGAACCACCCACAGGTGTGATCTCTCTAGTCCTGGCTCCTAGAATGGACCTCCATTCCCAGCTGTTGCTTGGGTGCCCTGGATGAGGCCCTCTTAGGCGGTATTCCTGCAGGACCCAACCCATAATGTCAGGAAGTCTAAGTAGTTCTGCAACATGCTCCCAGGGAAGCAGTGAGTGACATTTATAAAACAGGGTCCAGGACTAAAGGAAGAATGGTTAGAGTTAGAGGCAATAAGAGGGAAGATAGAGATTGATGAGGAGAACCTTTCAGGTCAAGAAATCTTGTGTAGAGTGGCAAGAACAAGCATTGGTCTTTTCCCTCTGGTGCCCCAGCTGGGTGAGAAGCCAGGGACGTAGGTTGCCCTGTCACCCTGAAGGTCGTTTCCCTAGAGCATAAACAGGCTTCTTCCTGTGAGTACAAAGTCCTCAAGGTTGGGGCCCAGATGAAACAGAAAGCAGAAATTTAAAATGTGGTGGCTACAAGAAAACATTTTAGAGAAAATCTTGTTGACATTTCTCTGGCCACAGCACTTGTAACAAGGATACTTGCCTTCATATTAAAATAATAATTAGAAAGAAGGGGAGGAGACTAATACTTTTGAGTACATGACATAGACATTATACTACAGTATTTTTGGTTTTGCTCTTGGTTTTGTTTTCAACTTTCAGACTTGCTTATCTCCCTCTACCCCTCATTCATAAAGGACATAGAATCTTACTAGAAATGGAAAATACAGAAAAGTGACCAAAGCAGATCTGACCCAAAAGTCGACCCTTTTAATGTATACTTCATTCCAATTTTGAAAAACTAAGGTTGAGAAGACAGTTGCTTCTACATAAGAAATTTATCGTCCCTATTACCCTCCCCCCTCCTCTAGAAAAAACCCATACTCACCTGCCCTTTAGATTTAGCAGAATCCATTACTAGCTGTGCACTGGGAAGGATTTACCGTGTAGGCCAGTGTGGTTGTAAACTGTCGTCCTTGGATCCATTTCCCTCTTCCCCATGCCCTGTCTTGTCAGCCAGTTATTATTACATAGTTAATTTTTGACAAGATAAAAGTATATTTGAATTTTTTTTTTGTAAAGTCCTTCACCCCAGTTGGAGGTGCCCTAATCACCTCTTCCCTAGACAAAACTTGGCATTTAAAATTTTACAAATCCTGATGGGCACATGGTTGAATGTTCTCATATTAATTTCTTCATTCAAGGCCGTAATCACAGACTCTAACTATATGGGTCTTTCAAACTTTGTACATCGTGGGTCCCTGAGCTAAGAAAGTTTCTTTTGTTTGAATTAGGTTGGTTTTACTTGTTTTATTCAGTAGACATTTACTGAGCCCATATTGTGTGCAGAGAACTGTGACTCCCTACATGGAAGGAGCTTCCTGTTGAGTAAAGAAGATGGGAATATAGATAGAACTAGCATGGGTACTTAAGTATCTTAGTTTTTAGAAATCTCTCAAGTGTCCTGAAAACTTGATCACTCCATGATACCCACATATTCAAAGTGGATGCAGTTGAGGAAATGGAACCTGATTAGTAAGTCCTAGCTTTGACTTCCACGCGTAGTATTTAAACAGACACCAATGCAAGTGTCTGCAGTGGACCATCACAGTCCTACAAGTGTTCTGAAGCTCATAATAGCAAGTGTTTATAATAGTAAGCCATCATTGCATCCCCGAAAAAGAAACATCTTAATTCGGATACAGATATCAATAAAAATAGTCTCTGTACTGCTTTCCTCCTTAAGGAGTTTGAAACTTTTCTTGTAGCAACCTTGTAAGAAATGCCAGTAAGCTTGTCTCAAAAACACTTGGGAAATTTGTCTTGGCCCTGTTCTAGGGTGGCCAAGTTCTTCTACACCCGTTGCTGAAAAGAGGGTGGAGGAGGGGGGGTTACTAGATTTCCTTGCATCTGTAGGGTGTATAGTTTAGAATGGCTGAATTTGGGCAGCCTGGGTGGCTTAGAGTTTAGTGCCGCCTTCAGCCCAGGGTGTGATCCTGGAGACCCAGGATTGAGTCCCACGTCCGGCTCCCTGCATGGAGCCTGCTTCTCCCTCTGCCTGTGTCTCTTCCTCCCCCCCCCCCCCCCGTGTATCTCATTAATAAATAAATACAATCTTTAAAAATGGGGGGAGGGGTGCCTGACTGGCTCAGTTGGTAGAGTATGTGACTCTTGATCTTGGCTTCATGAGTTCAAGCCCCACATTGAGTACAGAAATAAATATCAAAAAAGAAGAAGAATGGCTGAATTTTTAATTATTTTAGTTCCTTTATAAGACTCCTTTGAGCCAATGGCCAGGAGAAGGGGGAATGCAGACTCCTGAGTCTGGTTTCTGGCTGTCATGCTCTTATCTTGTGTGGCCGAGCCCGGGTAAGTGCTGCCTCTGTTCGGCCCCCACCCCGTCACCCCCTCTGTGAGTGAGGTGTCCGCAGTGGCAGTCAGGGTCACTGTGGAAGTTCCAAGGAAGAAAAGAACCCAGTGAGAGAGTGCGCTCATTCACAGTCCCTCTGTCCACTGAAAACTGTATGTGCAGACTTGTAAACACACCAGTTCATTGTATCAAATCATCATAGCCTCGCAGAACTCCAGAGTTGACCAGGGCAGGTGGTGCCCTTGGAGGTAGGTCCCCACGGGGCCAGGCTTCCTGTCTGAAATCTGTGTTTCAGGCTCCACCACTTCCTGAAGGCACTCCCGTCACTTTTCTCTCCCAGCCTGAAATGCCTTTCATTCTCTCTGCCTAGGCTGAAGCCGATGTAGCTTCTCTGAACAGACGCATCCAGCTGGTTGAGGAAGAGTTGGATCGTGCCCAGGAGCGACTGGCAACAGCTTTGCAGAAGCTGGAGGAGGCTGAGAAGGCAGCAGACGAGAGTGAGAGGTGAGGGTGCCTCTCCCAGCCCATCTTTCTGCACAGGCCTCCCTTCTGGGTGCGACAGGGAGGCTTCTCTGATCTGGGGCTTAGGAGTTTTACAGTCCCTTGGGGGGATCATTTCCTCGTTCAATCCCAGATATAACTTTACTGGGTTTGTTTGTTTAACATTAGTGGGATACCTGTGTGCCAAGCACTATTTTTAAACCCCGAGGTTACAAAGAAGAAAAAGATCCTATTCCTGCCCTCATGCAGCTCCCTGTCCAGCAAAGGAGATGGACATTTAAACCAGACATTCTAGGGATGCTTCTTGGTTCATTCAGCTCCTGCTGACCACAGAGCAATTAGGCATTTTTTAAAAGATAAACTTTATTTTAAAATACACAGCAGAGACTGGGCCTCGATAAATGAACCAGGGACTCTCAATTGTCATATAACCCTAAAAATAAGTGGAAGAGGAAGCACAGATAAAACAGTAATATGATCTGTGACAGTAAATTGTTTTGGACTTAGTACTGTTAAGACACTCATGCACATGTAAATACAGAAGATACCTGTGTATTCTGAGCCCGCTCCCTGTAACCTGGCTCTTCCTGACTTACTACTCCAAGATTCAGCTTTGTGGTAGTAAAGGAAAACCATGGCTGTATAGACGCACAACTCCACGTATCCTAGAAGGTATTCTTATGCTCAACCATTCAAGTTCATATATTCCTATTACATAGAAGCATTCCAAGCATGACTCATTGAGACTAGAGAGTTCTGCTAGAAGGATGAGAGAGTGGTGTGGTGGTTCAGAACCCGGGGAGAGTGTGTCTGTGCTGTGACCTGGGCAGGTGAATGCCATCAGCCATTCTTTCCATTTCTCCCTCTTAGATAGAAGTGAGTTTCTGCTCCCTGCCAGCAGGGATAGAGAGTAATTTCAGACTTGAAGATTAAAGAAGCTTTTAAGTTGAAGTTTCCAGTTCATTATTCACTGTTGCTTATTGTTTCTTCTCTAATGGAGAGTGTTGGAATTCCTTAAGATGACTCATCATCTCTTACAGTGCACACATACCAGTGGTTTTGTGGCTGATCCTTCCTGAAATATACTTGTTAGTGAGCCTAAAAGACAGTCTGGCAATGTTAGAGTTTGTAGGAAAAAGGAATTTAGAGATGACTTACCCCATCCCTTCGTTTTACAAATGAGAAAACGAGGACTCATCGGTTAATGCGACCCATCCAAAGTCTCACAACAAATTTATGGCTAAGCCAAGACGCGAATCTTGGTTACCTAATATATACCATAGTACTTCATCCAAAACTACTGGTTTATTTATCTGAACTGCCTGCTCAGATTTTATTAAATGAATCCTGTTTTAACATCACTTAGGCCTTGGGCAGCCCAGGTGGCTCAGCGGTTTAGCGCCGCCTTCAGCCCAGGGCCTGATCCTGGAGACCCGGGATCGAGTCCCATGACAGGCTCCCTGCATGGAGTCTGCTTCTCCCTCTGCCTATGTCTCTGCCCCCTCCCCCCATGAATAAATAAAATCTTCTAAAAAAGAAAAAAAAACACATGCCATAAAACGAACATATCACGGAACAATTCACGTTTTCCAAAACTTAACACCAAACATATGTGTTCAGCATAGACAACGGTATCTGTGTGTCTCAACACCTCTATGGTGAAAGAATTCTATTAAAGGCAGAATTCATAGTTTCTTATCTAAAGTATTGGTTGGCCCATAGGAAATTGCCATTTTTACAGATCTGATGCAGTCAAGTATCAGCAGTTTCCTATGGTTCAGTCACATTTGTAGCTAATGGGGTAAGAACAGCTACCTTCTTAATAAGGAAGAAGTACATGAAGACAAAATTTGTTTTTGTTAAAACTTTGGTCTATTTTCAAGCTGAAGCTTCTCACCAGGAAAAAGAAGAAATCCCATGATTTATATAGCAAGTAAAGCATGTTGGCTTTTCCTGTTTCCGTGCCTCCCAGTTTCAAACGGGAGCCTGACGTCGCACCTTTCATTTAACATTAGATCCCTGGACAGTTTTCACCAGTATTGAAAGTGTGAGGTTTCATTCACAAAAAAACAGAAATGTGTATGTCTTTTTCTGCCTTGAGCTCTGGAAACTCTTACTTCACGGTTTGGAAAATAAGAGCAGCTCTGTGCTCTATTTTGGTCTACCGGTTACACCAAGCCTCACAGACCAGTGCAGTGTGGGTCTATGGAGATCTCTAAACCTTGGATCTTCCTGCTTGTCTACTTTTCAGAGGCATGAAAGTCATTGAAAGCCGAGCCCAAAAGGATGAGGAGAAAATGGAAATTCAGGAGATCCAACTGAAAGAGGCCAAGCACATCGCTGAAGATGCCGACCGCAAGTATGAAGAGGTCAGATCTTGGGACCCAAAGCCTCATGACTTGCCAGCAGTGGCCTTGGTGGGGGCTGGGGAACCGTGCTTACGAGCCTTGGGTTCTTTTGTGAAACACTGCTGTATTGGTGGAATTGGGTGGTTTTGAGAAACAGAGTTCCCTTGTCTCCAGAAAATAGTTCTGATTTGATCCTGCTAGAGGATCCCAGGCTTTATCATAAAGCCAATCCACTGCATTGTGAAAGACCAAAGTTTCCCCCAGGATCCCCGCCCCCCCACCTTTGTAGCATCCAGACCAGGAGAAAAGGCAGTTGGGCCTCTTGTCACTTGTGGAAAGAGCCTCTCATATTGTCACCACGCAGGCAGCTCTTCCTGGTGTGACTCACCTAGCACCATCCACTTCAGGCAGCATGGAGAGACAGTCCATTGCGCTAAAGTCCATGTAGATTCAAAAGGCTTGGGATCCCTGGGTGGCGCGGCGGTTTGGCGCCTGCCTTTGGCCCAGGGCGCGATCCTGGAGACCCGGGATCAAATCCCACGTCGGGCTCCCGGTGCATGGAGCCTGCTTCTCCCTCTGCCTGTGTCTCTGCCTCTCTCTCTCTCTCTCTCTCTCTCTCTCTCTCTCTCACTATCATAAATAAATTAAAAAATTAAAAAAAAAAAAGATTCAAAAGGCTTTTTTCAGTCCTCTTTTCCAGTTGATAGAATCCCGTTGTCAAGAGAGGTTCACAGGTGATTCAACTTCTGGTCCTGTCCCCATGAGAACAACTTCCTGTGATAACAAAGCTAATGATTTGTTTTAGTTTTCCTTTAATTTATCATGACTATCTTGAAATGTTATTGACACTCTTTTTTTTCTACTTTTTAAAATTATTTTATGACCACCATTATTATTATTACCACTCCAGTTACCCTATGCCCACTACTTGAAATGCTTCAGAGGATCCCTTCTTCTCTCAGGTTCTTTCCTCCACTGAATCGAGAGCTTGATTAGTCATCTTACCAGCTCATCTTATGTTAGCTTCTGTTGCTATTCTGTTGTCATTTTTAACCTCTTCCACAAAGAGAAGGTTGAGGTACAAGGCTCTAAATTGGTAGAGTTCTCAGGATTATTTTCAGTGTGTTTTGGCAGCCCCTACCTTTACAGCATCAAATGGATCATGTCTCATCGTGCTGCTATTTTTGAGATTGTAAATTTTGTATCTCTCCCTCCTTCCACACTTAGGCTGGCTATGTAATTATAGGAACTTCACCTGGCTTAGACTTAAAATGAGACTGCCTACTCAAAACCAACCCATTCTGGATCTTTGTGAGCCGAAGCCTCTGGTCTACTCTCAATTGGCCCTCCCAGTAGAGAGTTACTTCTTTCCACTCCATGGGAAAGAGAGTCATCTTATTTGTCCATAAGAACTTCTAGGGGCTGGTAGATCCGTTCCCCACCTCCATGCCCATGCCTTGCCCCCTTACTCAAAGCTTGCCACCCTCATGATGTGTGTATGTGTGTCTGTTCTACAGGTGGCCCGTAAGCTGGTCATCATTGAGAGCGACCTGGAACGCGCAGAAGAACGGGCTGAGCTCTCAGAAAGGTAAGTAGGCCTGGTGCCGGTCTGCTGTGTGTGGGATGCTACAGAGCAGTGACTAAACAGCATGACCTTCTGGCAGCTGCACATTTACCTGTTTCAGCTCCGGGCTCCTTCTGTGCTCATCTGCCGTGGATGAGCTGCGAGTACGGAACACGGAGGGCTTGTGTGGGGTGTCTGTATGAATGCGTGTATCACTGCATGCCTTACCTGCACACTGATTTTGAGAATGGCCTTGTGCATTTCCTGTGTCCACTAACAGCCAAGTTCGACAGCTGGAAGAACAATTAAGAATAATGGATCAGACCTTGAAAGCATTAATGGCTGCAGAGGATAAGGTACTGATGGCTCATGTGTGGTTTTAGGTTTAACTGCAACGCAGACGTCTTTCAGCTTCCAGTGTCTACTGGTTCGTTTGGTATAACGACACCCTCTGCTGTCTTCTATCTTGCTTTAAGTGCTTTCTTTGGGTCCTTTATATTCCTTTGTTTTTCCTTCATAAATGCTCTTTGATGCAGCCAAAAAAGAAGCCAAATTATCACACTTCAGAATTGTTGGATTTTGTCACCCTGCCTTTCCGCTGTTGCAGGGTTGGGGGGACAGTGTCCTTGGCAAAATTGAGCATTTTACTACCTGACGATTTGGCTACTTTAAGGCAGCCCTTTGTTCTCTAGGACTCAGTTCTCACTTTTTCCCATCCCTCTCCTTTTTCTCTCCTCCTTCCTTGGGCTTGTCTCCCATCCTTTCTGCCTCTGATCGAAAACATTAGCAAATGTGCCGAGCTTGAAGAAGAATTGAAAACTGTGACGAACAACTTGAAGTCACTGGAGGCTCAGGCTGAGAAGGTAGGCCAGGAGCATGGTGTGGGGGAAAGGCGTCTCTCATAAGAGCTGCTCAAAAAATACGTACTTTTTCTCATCTGAGGCCCCGCCGATGAAAGCAAAAGTCCCTTAGGCGTTTTATTTAGCAAATGGCATTTTGAGGTGATGTCCTGATGGTTATTGGATAACATGTTTTTTTTTTTAATAGGGAAAATATTTTATGTTGAATATATGAATCGTCTGTAACAATTTAATTTAAACCAAGCACCACATGGCTAAGTTATCTTGTTCTTAACCCATGTAAAACAATAGGCAAGAAAACAGAGAATGTATTGTAGCATGCCATTTGATATCAGAGGCTCCATTACCTCCTAAGAGATCCTCAACATCTGTTGGCTGGGCTGGCACTTTCTTGGTATTAGAAGACCTGAGTATAGAGTGAGCTCTATAGCCTGACATCTGGAATGCTCTTTCTAATTACAGTACTCGCAGAAGGAAGACAAATATGAGGAAGAGATCAAGGTTCTTTCTGACAAGCTGAAGGAGGTAATATGAGTGTTTTAGAATGAAGCCAACTGGATTTTAACTGAGCCCCATTCTTATGGAGCTGAAGTATGGTAATCCAAGAAGTATGGTAATCCAAGTCAGGAATGTTCAAAGGCAGTCCTGGCATTAATGTGCTATGCTAGCGACTGACAGGTCCTTCTAGATCCATTTTACGGGTGCTGTGCTTCATTTTCATGCTCTAGGGTTCCCTATGTTTATAGCTACTAGCGACATAAAGCTTCCCAATTTTGACTGAAATAAATGGAATCATTGCAGGCCGAGACTCGGGCTGAGTTTGCGGAGAGGTCAGTAACTAAATTGGAGAAAAGCATTGATGACTTAGAAGGTAAGATCTTAAGGTCTGTTTTTAATTTAGTCCTATAGTTGCATAGTGACCTTGCAAAGCAGTTTTCCAATCCAAGTGCATCCTCCTTGATACACTTTTTTGCTCTTGCATATTCTTCCTATCTGTCCTTTGGGGTTTTCATTCTTTGACTCTTAAAACTCTTGGACCTGAGTCCTGTGCTCGCCAGATGACTCAAGCCACCAGAAGAGGCCCGTTTCTCTCTAATGGCAGATGCCATCCAGCTTTATGTCACACTCTGGAGAAGTATGGCAGGTTTATTTGTCATTGTGGGTGAGGTCGTTGTAGGGTGATAGCAACTAGCTTATTTTCTGCTATTAATACCTCCTAATTGTCAGAGTGGCATGGATTTGTTTTTAGACACAATTCATCTTCTAAGTAAGAATCCAGCGTAAGGGTGGGGTTTAAGTCCTTAATGTCCTCGAGATGCTCCACATTTTGAAAGGGGTGTGGGGATAATAGGACTTTTTTTTTTTTTTTTTTTTTTTGAGATTATACTTAAGCCTTTCTCCCCTAAGGTACGTAGGTTTTGTTTTAGGGACACCCACCTTAATCTCACAGAAATGCTAAATGTGGAACTCTGAGTCCTGAGAAGGGTCAGCTATGAAAAAGAAAGAAAGGGAAATACTTAAATTCAAGAAAGGCAGAAGGGGCTGGTAAAGGCCCCAAAGGTTGGTGCAGACAATAACCAAGCTAGAGAGGAAGAGTGGGTGACAGATGGTTGCAGAACAATCTGCCTAAGTGCAGAAGTATGAAATCTTCATCATTACAAAGACTAAATTGCAGATTTGGCACAGCACCACCATAAATGTGTAGCTCTCCTTGCTTCTCAAGCCTCCTGGGCCAGGAGCAGGGTGGCTTAGAGAGAAGACTTCACAAGGCAGCTTCCAGGGTGCCCAGAAACCCATAACCCAGAAGTCCATTTTGGTCAGGAAGTCAGTGGTTTGAAGGTGGAGCCAGATAAGAATGACAGACAAGAGTCACAAGTTGTCCTTCCAAAACACTGTCCTTGGATATTTTTCCCACTGTTTATAGTCGCAGGTGGCTGACCGCGCCAGCACCATTAAAATACAGCTATAGACAGGAAAAGTGTTCTATCACCTACCCAGGAGACAGCCTTCTGTGGTCTCATTTAGGACTTAACATGGTGTACTGACATACCAACCACATTTGTGATGATTTTCATATTGGGTCTTCTTGTTTTATTTTCTAATGGCTTTTGTTCTTTTTGTTTTTGTTTCAATTCATTTAAAAACAAAATGCACGCCTCCTGCATTGGCCACCTGCTGCGATACCACTTCCTTCATGCACTGCCCTTTCCTTGCTGCTGTGTCGGGATGGCGTCCGCGCCACCCACTCCCACCCTCCATCTCTTGATCACTCTCCATGCCCTTGCATCTCTGCCTTCCACTTCCTGGTCATAGACGAGCTGTACGCTCAGAAACTGAAGTACAAAGCCATCAGCGAGGAGCTGGACCACGCTCTCAACGATATGACTTCCATGTAAATGTTCATCCACCCTGCCTGCTCACATCCGTGCCCTCACGCTAATATGATAAACTCACCGCTGCTCCCTTCTCTACCTCCAGAAGCTCCATCTTTACGCTTTTCTGTTTATTCTTTGCATAACCTTAGGATAGTTATTGTTTGTTCACAGTCTACTAATATAAAAGCCAAGCAGATTAAGTCTAGCTATAGAAATCATCTTCCTTTCAGAATCTGTTTATTTCACAATCTCTGAGCTAGATTGTTCCCACCAAGCAGTGAACTGAAATATGAACGATTGGAGCACTACCCTCTTACGAACTTAAACCAGGTTCAAGTAAACTCAGAAGGCTATGGAATTGTGCGGGAACTTCCCCAGAAGTATCAAAAATTGGCTTCCTGAGACTCAATTAAGTACAATATAATTTTTGTAAAAGAAATTAAGGAACCCTAAAGTGTCCAGTTACTGATGATCTGAGAGGAAATTGATCCAGTACAGCCTAAGGAATGATGCTGTGAGGGATCATCTCTTCCTTGCTTTTAAGAATTCTGGAAAGAAATGGTTCATCTCCTGGATACAAGAGCCTTTAATTTTCTGTGTTTAGGTAAAAGAAATACTCACATTGAACACCCTAATTGGTGTCAAAGTATTGGGAAATAAAACACTGATGACACAGTATGAGTTTGGGAGTTAATGGCCCACCTTTAACTGTGTGAGACAGTGAGCATTGGAGCAGATCCCTCATTCTCATGAGAACTTTGAGCAGACACAACTAATCCGCATATGGCTAACCAAACCTTAGCATTACACTTCTGCCTCTTTGAATTCTAACCTCCAGTGTTCCACAGAGGGTTCTCTTCATTCTAATAATAAGGCACTGAATTCTGTATAAGCTAGGAATTTCCCCACCCACCCATGCAAGAAATTGGTAGCCTGAAGAGTGTGGCTTGTGCCTGCTGCCTTCCGAGTTATAGAATCTCCACATCACCATTAGAGACAGTGACTGTCACCATGGAAAGTAGAATTGCATCCTCTCCTCCCTCATTTGTCAATGTGGGAGTAAATCAGAACGTCTGTCTCTAAGGAGTTTTCCAGTGCTAAAATGTGGTGATTCTGTGGGGAAAACTTACAGCATCAGGTATGGATTGAATATCCTAAAAGGTGGGTTAGCTTAAAATCTATTTTTTGAACTCTGTTCTTGGGTCGTCTTGGCCACGGCCCCTCCCCTAGAGGGACTTGGGCTAGCCCTGGGTACAGACTCTGGTGGGTGAGGACGGACATACTCCTGCAGGTGCAGCTGGCAGAGGATTTTGCATGTGTGCTTTCTGGCCTGTGTTTCAAGGGCTGCTCTCATCTGTTAGTTTGGTTTTCCTTTATTCCATTGTGCCACTTTGTTTTCTTTCTCTCCCACCTTTTCTCCTCATGCAGATAAGTTTCTTTGCTTCACTCCTCCTGAGAACCCTTCATCAAGCTGGCTGTCCCACCTCTCTGAGCTCTGCAGGTGGCTGTATGTTCCCCAGCTGCCCTGGCTCGCTCTTTTAGCACCCTGCCCAAGAGCCAGGCACACCGCTTTCCATTGTACAGAAGCTCCTCATTTCAGTGTCAAATAAACACTGCATAAGCTCTCTCTGTTTGCCATTCTTTTTACTTCTTACTTCCTGACATTTTAGTTTCAACGCTGAATAAAATGATAAATCTATTTCACACATATGAGGATTAGTTTTTGGCCACTACCTTTTTTTTTTTTTTTTTTTTTCATTCTCAACATTAATGTTAAACATTTCTAAACCAGTAGTAGTTCCTTACGGAACTTTCAAAAAATATTCATGCATGGTTCCCTCATAGAGTTTTGGTTTGCAAAGGTTAGAGTGAGGCCTGGGTATCTGCGTAGGGGGGTTTGTTTTGTATTGTATTTTTGAGGTGGTGGTGGTACTGGTATGTAGTCCTCATTGAGAACCTCTGCACATTTGCTTGCTTGAGTGAGAAGATGTGCCTTGAGCAGTGTCTTCCTCTGCCAGAGGTTTGGCATGGGACACGGAGAGCCCTCTGTGTTGATGTTGAGGTGGCCCTACTTGTAGGGACGTGGCTAACTAGCATCCCACACTGCCGGGAATTCACATAATTGGAATCGTGAAAAAGAACTTGTATTCAACAGCGGTAGTTGAGGTTACTGTCAATCATCCTTTCACGGCACAAAGAACAGTTAGAGCATTTTAAAAGTATATTCATTACTCAACCACCTTCATTTGGATCAGGAAAGACATCATAAGTTTTCTAAATATGATAATGTTATGTCCAGATTCATTTTTGTGCCCTTAAGGACTTCACATATTTTTTATGAGGGAAGAGATAGATAGGTAGATATAGATATAGATGATACAGATATAGATCTATGTGTATAGATATATAGATATCACAAAGAATATATATTCTGGGGTTTTTTTCCTTCATTTGTAGACATTTTTGAAGTATAGTCATTAGAGTTAATTCTTTTTTTCTCTCTAAAAGTGTAGTTAGTAGTTGTTCAGAATACAGTTCTATTTTATGTAGGCTTCACTAGTTCACTCCAAAAACAAGAACTAAGTGATTTTAAAAGAGAAACACATTGCAAAATTAGAACTTTAAAATGGTATGAACTTTTGTTTCTTAATTCCCAGCATTTCTGCATCCTCAACAATCTGGCTGTATTTCTCCTGTGTTTTAAATGTGGGTGATTTTCATCTGTTTTTGTTAGACTGAGAGGGTTGATATGTACCACTATACTCAACTTAGACAAACTGAAAATAATGTCAATCACACTATAAAGACTTCAGAGCAGAGAAAAAATACTTTTCTTAAGAGGACCACAAATTAAAGTATTTCAATAGTGATATAGTAGACTTTCTAAAATTCAGAATCAACATCTCTCTCTTGAGAGTGTAAAGACTTCTAAAATTTCATGGATTTTTTTTTCCCCTAAGGCTTTTTGGGTCTGCTTTTGACTGATTCCAAACCCCCCTCCCTTTTTTTTTTTTTTTAAGCTCCTAGTGATTGAAGTCAACCCTTCTTTGAGTGACCCTGCTTCCTACTAGAGACAAAATGATGAGTTTAAAAGTTCTGCTGAGCAGATGTGCAGTTAATTCTAGAGGCACATCTTTTTTTCTTTTTTTTTTTTTTTAAACCAGAGACTTTCACACTTTTTGTAATACATTCTAAAGGGGAAACGGGAAACTGATGGTTTGGAAAGGAAAATCTAGAATAGCCCAAGAAGGTAAGGGTTCACGAGTGGATAAATAGCAACTTGATTCTGTCAAGAAATTGTTGGGATCCAGGTTTCTAGTTTAGAGGGCCAGACCATAGCTGCTGCTACTGCAAGAACCTGGTAGGACCAAACAGAAAGCATTGCTCAGTTTGGGGGCTAGAGGTTCCAGATATCTGGAAGGTAGGAAAGGAGGAGAAAATACTCCTAAGTGTATGACTGTTTCTGGTCCCTGCCCTCAGGCCACCCAGGTAAACCAGCTCCATGGTAGCTGAGTGGAGCAGGTCCAAAGGGGGATGTGGTAGGGACAACTGTCATTTAAGCTGAGTTCACGTTGACTGGGTTCTTTAGGGTTTCTCTAAAGTTATTTCATCCCAGTTTGGGCAGACAACTGGCTCAGCAAACTGAGACATCCTGCCTATGGCGATTGCCCCACATGTAGTAGTGTGAATATACAGGTAGGGTTTAAATTTGCAACCCCGGAGCATGTGCCTTACACAGGACACTGTAGAAGGCAGTGGAGATGTGAAGAGATGAGCCAGAAATGCTCTTTGCCCTTGATGAGCTGGCCATCTTGCTGGAAGGTAGAGAAGTGAAGTGTGTCTGAACCTATAGATGGGTATACATTTGGAGCTACCTGGAGAAGGTGACATTTGGCTAGGGTTTTGAATATCTAGAGGATGTGGTTGAGCAAAGAGGATAAGTAGCAGATACTCTGAGCTAGAAAGTATAGCGTATATGGCATCTTCCCCATCACCTACCACGTAGGAGAGAAAGCCAAAATAAGAATTGATCAGTTTCCCAACACACGCCAGTCTGGAGGCTGATCGTGCATTCTCTCCAGGGATGGGATTGTCAGCCTTTCAAAATCAGTACATAGAATATCTAGGTCCAGGTTGTCACTGTCATTTGAACCAATTTTATATCCTCCAGCTATTTATGGTAAGTGCCAGGTTCTTATCATTTGGGGAGCATCCCTTGGACCATCAGCTACAGCCTGATGACCCCTCTGGTTGACCGCCCTGCCATGTGAGCAGATTATATGCCAATGTGTAAAATTCATGTTGCACTAGTCTCCCTGTGGAAGTTTGAGATTTTGTTCACTCGGTACACCTCCATCTCACACCACCATGAATGCCATTCTCTTCAACTAGTAAGCAAATGAATTTTAAGTCAGTTTCCTTTGGAAATGAGTGCCTGTTGTGTTACTCTCTGAGCAAGGTAGCACCCTGTATGGTGGTGATAGGGAGAGGCACAGGGAGCTTAGTTCTGCAAAACTGCATGAAGCAGCCACTGGGGGTCCCTCTTGGTACTGCCTGAAAGGAAAGCTCTAGCCACAGGAGTGCAAGTGAAGGGGGTTCTGGGAAGAGGTGGGCAAAATGGGCAGGTTGAGGTTTCAATGTAATATCTCCACTGTGATGCTCTGCCTCGGTTCCTCAGGCTGTTGCCAGAAACTGCATGTGGTTCTGTTCATGCAGCGGTTTTAGTGAGGTATAAAAGGAACATCCCCCTCCTCCTCTCTCTTCCTCACCCCTGTCGCTCCCTTTCCCTCCCCGGCCACCAAGAGAGAAATCCTGGCGGCTCCTAAGTCTGCCAGGCCTTTCCCGCCCACCCTTCCTGGGCATGGGACAGATGACCACCAGGGAAGGGTGAGCTGCTCGGCAGGTGACCTGAGGTATCTCTGTGTGCTGTTAACTCCTTTACCAAGTCTGGCTAACCTCTCTTCCTTCTGCCTCTCTTCTGCTAACCTGCTTGCTGACCTGTACAGATCAACTCTACCAGCAACTTGAGCAAAACCGCCGCCTAACTAACCAACTAAAGCTGGCCCTGAATGAGGATTAAACTTAGGAAAGAGCTTGGGCTGAATTCTAGGAATGGAGCCCATGGGCAGGAAATCTTATGACTGCCGTACCTTCAACCAGTAGGGCTGACAACACTTGCTTTCTGTAGAATTGTACATGGAAGGAATTAGCTAAAAAGCTGGCTTCACCTGCATTTTCCTCTATATCTGGAATAATTAAGTTCTCTTTAAACCCCCCAAACTGCTTTTATGGTAAAATTACATATATGTATATGGATTAAATACTTGGAACAATTCAGCAACTGCAGGTCCTCTTGTTTGAACTGATACATAATGAGGACCAAAAATTGTTTTGTATTTCCTACAGAGAACTGAGTCCTGCTTTAAGTTAGAAAGCCAAAGCAGAGGAGTGACTATTTACATATATATATATTATATATTGCATCGTATATATAATATATATATACCCACATAGCTATTACATATTCATATTCCTGACTTCTTAATATCTGGTATAGTGTTTGATTAAATGTACCTATGCTTGGGCAAAATAGCTTTTGAAAACAGGAGCTCATGTCAGAAGTCCCTGATTGTCTGAAAGGTATGCTTTTATTCCGTCTAATGATGTTGTTGGAATCTGGTGAGATTGTCATGCTAATAATAAATAGAACTATAAGAATAGCAAGAAAATGTCCTACTGAAGTGTGCATGAAATATGTTGATAATTCATTTTTTTAACGAGCAACAGAAATAAATCGTTTTAAAAGTTGCCAGAAAACCTACTTACGTCCTCTTTGTCTTCTGTGAGATTGTGTTACAACACAGCTCCCAGACCTTTAACTGCCTGTAACTCAGAAACATCTGCTGTATTAACTTCAGTGCTGCTGGCACCCCTCCCTGTCCCTACAGCATGGGGCCAGCAGACCTTCGCCAAGCGCCACCTGTGCTTTTTTTCTGAGTGAACGTTTGGTGAAAGTTTACCTGACCGCCCTGTGAGACCCTGCTGTGCCTGTAGCTCCTTCAGGTCAAAGACGTCTTCCCCCTTTGTAGGTCCTTGTCTGGAAATGAGTAATATCTTACCAGCATGCCTTGTCCTAATCATCTCATCCTTGTTTGTGACTGATGTTTGCCTGCCTAAATGTGCAAACCGCCACTGTGTCCAGAGTGCAGCTATTTATGACTTAATTTTCTAATCCCACCACAGAGAAAGTGGCTCATGCCAAAGAAGAAAACCTTAGTATGCATCAGATGCTGGATCAGACTTTACTGGAGTTAAACAACATGTGAAAACCTCCTTAGCTGCGACCACATTCTTTCATGTTGTTTTGTTGTTTTTTTTGGTTTTGTTTTATTTTGTTTTGTTTTGTGACACCATGCTTACCATGAACCCCCCCTTAAACGCATTTTTATTTACTTTTACACTGTCACAGAAAACATCCACGAGATACCAGCTAGATCAGGGGATGGGGAAAACACACACACACACACACACACACACACACACAAAGGCAAGCCCGTGGCAGGGCCGTAATGACTTAAATGTGCCATTTCCCAGGTTGACGTTGCCACACTTCATAGACAGTTTTGCAACACCGCGTACTCCGCCAGTCTAGCGATCCTCACTAAAGCAGAAAGATTTCCACTCAAAGTGCCAACGATGTATTCAACAGGCAGATTAATGTTGAAAATGCAATCAGGTGTGGTTTGGTGCTACTTTAAACAAAAAGTCCCACTGTGGTCTTTAGTTCAATATTGTTCAATTTAGAATTCTGTCCAACACTAATTTATTTTGTCTTGAGTTTTGCTACAAGATGAGACTGTGGGTCCTGTATGCCCGAATTCACTAAAGCCAAGGGTTTGTAAGGCACGCTGCTCCTGTAAGACTTCTAGCCTCCTCATTGGCACATTTGCGGCTCATTACAACTTTTAGGATAGCATTCGATGTGGATTTCCACTCTCCATTTCTCTGTTAAAGTGAAAGATTTAGGCACTATGTACAATTGGTAAAGAAGAAACATTTTCATAAGAGTTATAACTATATGTAAACATTGTATAATGGTATGGAATAAAATGCACATTGTAGGACATTTTCTAAATTTGGTGGTCCTGTCATTTGTATGTTTTTACTTTGTGAACTTTGGATGGTGTGGTCGACCTACCTTCCCTTGTGAATGGTTTCTTAAATAGTGTCCCAAAGATCAGGGGGCAAGTGGGTTTTGTGCATCATCCTCCCCACTCTCTTAAGGCAGCATCCCTTTGGTCTGTTAATGTTATAACCCAGCGGGAAAGACTCTTTTCCAAAGACCTTTCTCCATGTTCCAAGTGTATATCTGCACATTCATACAGGCTTTTGCAGTGGTTGTGCTGCTTTGAGGATTTTCCCCCAAGGTAGCTAAGTCGTCTTCAGCAGGGACATATACATCAGCACATTGTGGGTGAAGGCACCAAGTGTGCTCTCCTCTTCTAGCTGTGTGACTACTGAAAAGTATTGCTCGAAAGGGTCTTCGTGATTTCCTGCTTTCTCACTCATGCTGAGTTCGAAATTCCAATACATCTTCATTTTCTCAGACTTAGAAATGGAAAATAACACAGGTCACTCCTGAAGACTTGAAGCAAACGAAAGTAGATTACAAACATGAGTTGGCCAAACTTGAGCTGCATGGCGGAAAAGGACATTCTCTTGAAAAGCAAACATGATAGAATGGAAATGAAAACTCCTCTGTGACAGATGACATAGTATTTTCATTGAAAAGTATTAAATATATCTGTAGCTGTTCTTCCAAGCCCTTTGATCAAGTATTTTCTCTCCACAGAGAGGAAGGGCGTGGAGGGCAAAGAAGAAGCTTGGAGGCCAGGCTTCTGGTTCCCACTTCTAAAAGGCTGTCCCCTTGCTCAAGGTGAAGAAATGTCCTGGGTCTCCCCCTGTCTTCACTGCCCCTAGGCTCGCTGCTGCTGGTCCTCAGCTAGGCCAGGACTGGTCTCTGCCTCACTACAGTGACAGAGGCCTTTCCCAAGCCAGCCCTCTTTCACGTGGGAAGCCAGCTCTGGCTTCACCTTTACTAGCTGCCTAGCCAGTCAAGTCTAAATCTGAGATTCTTCAGTTATGAAATGAGGATGAGATTAGCACCTAGCTCCTAAGGCAGTACCATGGGACTGGAACGTATTGCCCACATCCTAAAGTACATAGTGCTGCACCCAGGACATGCCTGCTAACCATTAACTGCTGCTGTCCTCCTCACGCCACATGTGCTCCAGAGAGCACCGCAGGGGATTGAATTCCTGACGTCTAAAGCTGGAACAACACTAACTTCGCCCCAGATGATGATGGCTGTTAATACGCTTCTCAGATATCCTATGCCCGAACCTATAAGTGCCTTAAACAAGTATTATTTCAGTTCTCCATCATTCGCTGTTTTATTTACACAGAAACCGAGGCTCAGGGAATCCGTGGAACTACTCACAGTCCCGTGGCTCACAGGGAGTGGGGTCGGCCTTCAGATTCAGGCCTGTGTGACGCCACAGCCCTGTTCGGGTTCTCCCACCTGTTTCAGATGTTTTGCATCAGAAGAAAAGCCACTGCTGGAGATAGTTAAAAACATGATGCTTCAAATACAGTTGGGGGAGGACACGGAAGATGCAGGTGGAGTCAGCTTTGCGGCTGACATGACTGCCAGTGACTGGCTTACCACCTGACTTCCTGGACTCCAGGGATCTGGTAGAAATAATGAATTCGTGAAGTATCATGCCAGTTTGAAGAGTTATTACCTGATCTTTCTGATAGGAAGGAACACCCTGTCTCCTCATGGCACACGCCTTGGGGCTGCTCCAATGTGATAATCTCTGAACATGCCACTGCTGTGAGGTCAGGAGAAAGATAAGGGCTCTTCCAAGTGGAAGCACCGAGGCTGGAAGCTGATACGGTCACCATTTAGAAAATCATGAAGTACAGAGAAATAGTTCAGGATTCATACCCCAAATTCCATTAGCAGGCCCAGATTTCAGAATGAGCAGCTGAAGAAGCTGCCATGTTTAGAGTAAAACATTCGGGCCCTCCAGAGAGGAAGGGTACGAGTGAGAAATAAGCATTTCCCCAAAATCTTTCAATTTATAAGAGTTCCATAATCTCTCTGGAGGAAAAAAAGAAAAGCACTTCCTGGATACATTCTGAACTTTTTGGGACTGGCATTGAGAACAAATCCTCTACTTACTGCCCCTGGTGAGGTCATTAGCAGAAAGAAAATTAATTTTTGTGTATGCTGGTATGCATCCAGAGTTTAATACTTTTGGCCTAATTTTTTTTTTCTCCAGGAAGGAAAAAATGTCTTGAACAAATATTTGAGTGTATGTTAACCATTTTTTCAACTTGTCGACACTATTTGTAGATGTGATTTTAAAATTTGCAGTCAAATGTACATACAGGGGGGAAAAAATCCGAATTCTCCAACCAAAACAAAAAGCACTGAGGTGCTCAGGGAGCCATCATTTCCAGAATTGGAGACAGGGTTTTGGGGGAAAAAATTAGAAATGTCAGGCAATGGAAGAAGTGTTCCTTCCATTATATATACTTTTTGACATTGAGAATTTTCAGAGCTACATTCCTCCAACAGCTGTCATAAATTTTATGTGTCAACGAATGAAGCTAAGTTGAGGGTTCACTAATATGAATGCAACTTTTGCCAAATTTTTGACAAATGGGCATCAACCTAGAGGCTAAGACCAGTTCCTGCTGCCTGTGAGAGTTTTATTTCCATCTGTTTCCAAGGCCATGGAGAACAGAGTCAAGTCAAGGCCTTACCAGGCCTGCCAAGGCTGATGCCCTAACCAAAATGCTGATTCACAGCCGAGCTGGAAGGAGGTTTATAATCAAGGCCCGGAGAGGTTCGATGGCTTGCTCAAGGTCTTTCAACTAGTTGAGTTGAGCACTCCTGCAGGGCCTAGAAACCAGATGGGCAAGCTCTGAAGCCGGCTCCACCACTCACCTCTGTTAATTTTACCATTTCAAGCAGCAGTGTCTTCAGCCTTGAGGGAGAAGTTTTCCCTCTTCACGTGTTCTGCACTTCTCACAAGCCTGGGAACTAAACGAGGTGGTGTGGTGATGCTCCCACCACCTCCCGTCCTGTTTCTGCTCCTCAGCCTGAGCCTTCCCCCCCTTCCTTGGGGGTCCTTAGGGAAACAAGTAACTTGGTTCCTTTTAAAGTGAAAATCTCCAGGACCCCTTCCTCGCCCCCATTGGTTGCATGGCCCTGGTACCACACATAAAAGGCATTCAGAATACGTTTGTGGATTGAACAAATGGCCCAGACACAAATGCTCAAGTAACAATTCTGGAGTCCTTACCCACCCAAGCAAAGAAAGTAAAGAATGTTTCAAAGCAATAGATTCAAATTTCATTTTTAAGCACAACACTGGCCTTTGAAAGTGAGTTTCTGTTGCTGGGCTCTCGAACTGCATTTGGACATGCTACAGAGTGAAGCAGACAGTAGGAATACTGCCCAGAGCCCCTGGACCAGATGTGAATGAAGGTAGGCAGCCCTGGTTCAATCTTGAGCAGCCACTGGGCAGGACCACTGTGGAATCCACTCCTCCAGAAGAAAGCTAGTGAAGACAAAACAAGCCCTTTGTGTGTGTGTGACCTAGGATTGATTGTTCTGTTTCCCAAGGGCCCTCCTGGGCCTTATTTGGGCCAACACTCCTCTGGGTGGATGCTCCATGATGGTCAGAAGGTAAGAGGGAAGCACACTTCATGATGGAAAGTCCTGATCTGTTTTCAACTTTGGAATGCTAGATGCTCAGGAATTGGAATTCTTGTTCCTTAGACTCATAAATTGGATAGTAAACACTCAGGTACATGCAGGTAGATGGTATAGTTCTGTGGCCTTCCAGTGAGCTAGGTTTTGATGAGCTGACCACATTTTGCATCAGCACCCCCACCCTCCACTCTATTCCAAGCCCACTTCCTCTATGAAAACCGTTTTTCACGTTAAAACAATTTGCCAAAGAACTACTTGAATCATGCAGTGGTCAATGACAGCATTACCTGAAGCAAGCACTGTCACTATCCCAAAAGGGTTTATTTAGTACAGGTGCTAAAATCCCAGAGAATATATTAGAAGTATGAGCCAGCACCCAGGCAATAGGGTTTTTCATTTTTTCTCTTAAAGGACTGCTATAGAACCCAAATGGGAAATAATGAA